TGAGGGTCCATGGTCCATGGTCCATGGTGGACCATATTAAGTAATTAAAGAGAATCCTAACCATAATCTGAATAGTAAAGGTATACTTTCTTTATTCCTAATAGATGTGTAGGCCTAGGATTCCTAATTAGGATCTGATTAGTAAAATGTTGACTTTCTTTATTTCTAATAGGCTTATGACTCTAGTTTAGGCAAGGGTCCACGATCCGTGGTGGACCATATTAATTAATTAAAGGGATTTCTAATCAAATTAAATCCTTTTTAATTATTATTAATGGAATTTAATTAAATAATTAATTCGGGTTTAAAGGCCGTAACACGGGGTGTTACAATTATAAAATATGTAAAAAAAATGATAACTATGATTTTAACATTGATAAGTATCTCTTGGACCCATCTACATAATTAAACCAAAAAAAAAAAAAAAAAAAAACATATTCGAATACCACTCATCTACATTATCTCTTGAAATGGATAGATTGTAATTAATTTTCATGCAAATACTTCGTCAAATGTTAAGGTTCATAAGCTCACATCCAAAAAAAAATAAAAATAAAAATAAAATAAAATAAAAAAAAAAAACTTCATAAAAATAAAAGTTCACCACCTAATTAAACATAATAAAATGTTACGTTTTTAAAAAGCTACGTCCAAAAAACATAATAGAAAGGATTCATCACGCTATTACAGAAAGGGAGAGGTCAGATATCAATTTTAGATTAAAAATAAAAGAGATGGGTAATTCTGTTTCGAGGTTTTTTTTTTTTTTTTTTTTTTCTTCCTAAAAATCATGAAATTAAAATAACAAGAGGAGACATGGGATTCTAATTCCATGAAAATGAGGAAATTGAAATTTTGTGGAATTGAAATTCCTCTAACTAAATGAAAAAATTTACTTGCCTTAGCTTCGGAATTAGGTGTGAATGAAATTGTAATAGTTGAAAAATTCATAAATATATAGAAATATGCCTAAATACATACATACAGTACCAGTGGCTTGTGGTCCACTGGTATCGGATTGCTCCCCTATGTGGGAGGTCTAGGTTTCGAGCCTCAGTGTAGGCATAGATTGTATGGGTATCCCCCTTCCTTTGTAATAAAAATACATACATACAGTTAGGGACTATATTAACCACCCATGCAAAATTTTAAAATTAAATTCTTTTTATTTCTAAATGTGATTCCTTAATTATAATTAAATCAATATGAAATATAATTAAGAAAATAAAATTATAAATTAATAAATATCTTTTTATAAATATTTAAAAATCTACTTAAATACATACGTATAATTATTTATTATACAAAATTGAAATTTTGTTTTTTAATTTCTAAATATAATTATCTTATTTATAAGTCTAGCAATATAAATTATAAATAAAAAAATTATATTATAATTTTTTTAGAAATACATATCAATAAATATTATGTACGCATACAATACATTATGCGATTATAAAAGGAAATACGTTCGATTAAAATTTAAATATAGTTATACAAAATTTAAAATCTACATTTTTTATATCTAAATATAATTCCCTTAATTATTATTCATATAGTTGGAATTATAATATATATGAAATACAATTAGGAGTAATCAATTTAATTATGTAAATTTATCTAAATAGGTATATAATTACGGACTATATATATATATATATATATATATATATATATATATATATATATATATATATATATATATAATTAGGTTCTGGTGCAATTAGAGTGCCCATGTGCGGTTGTGCGGTTTAATCTGAACCATTCATCTCGCTTAAATCAACGTCCAGAATTGTCAAAATTTAAAAAAAAAATGCGGTGGCAATTTTGTAATTTTTGCATGTAGGTCAAAATTAAGGTGAGCGGATCTGTGATTAATGTGCGTGGGGTTTGTGCTTAATGTGCGTGAGGTTGTGCTTAATGTGTGTGGGGTTTGTACTTAATGTGCGTGAGGTTGTGCTTAATGTCAATAGTTGTTGAAACTTAAAATCTGTGAGTTAATATATTAAAGTGCGTGGGGTTTGTGCTTAATGTGAGTGAGGTTGTGCTTAATGTGTGTGGGATTTGTACTTAATGTGCGTGAGGTTGTGCTTAATGTCAATAGTTGTTGAAACTTAAAATCTGTGAGTTAATATTTAAAGTGCGTGGGGTTTGTGCTTAATGTGCGTGAGGCTGTGCTTAATGTGTGTGGGGTTTGTACTTAATGTGCGTGAGGTTGTGCAGACGCTATCATTTGTGTAGACGCTAATCATTTGTGTAGACGCTAACATTTGTGTAGACGCTATCATTTGTGTAGGCGCTATCTTCTTCCCGACACGCATTTTTTTTAAATTTTTATTGATTTGAGCCGTTGATCTAAATTTGATCAACAGCTCAGATTTAACTGCACAACCGCACGGGAAGCTATACCCGCACATGAACCCTTCTATATATATATATATATATATATATATATATATATATATATATATATATATATATATATATAATATATAGTGAAAGGTTCGCGTGCGGTGAATGCTTCCCGTGCGGATGTGCGGTGGATTAATGTGCGTGAGATTTGTACTCAATGTGTGTGAGTGTTGTGCTTAATGTGCCTGAGATTTGTACTTAATGTGCGTGAATCTGTAAAATGCAGCAGAAAATATTGATGTCAGCTTCTTCCCCATCCCCAGTAGCCATTTGCCCCCTCCCTGATGATAATGATGCGGAGGCGAGCTATGGTGGTTAAAAATTATGGGAATAATACAACAGAAATCCACACTTAGCTGCTGTGCAAATTTTACTGTGCGTGCGTCATTTATATAAACATTCAACTGCACTGAAGGTAGCTGATAATCTAGAATCCATGGCCAAATTGAAGGAAGAAGTAACAAGAAGCTTGGGCGTTAATGTGCGTGAGTTTCTCTTTCTGCTTCCTTCTGAACTCGTAATTCTGAAATACGCACGCACAATAAGCACAAATCTCACGCACATTAAACACAATACTCAGGCACATTAAGTACAACACCCACGCATATTAACATGACGCACATTAAGTACAAATCTCAGGCACATTGAGTACAAATCTCACGCACATTAAGTATAAACCTCACGCACATTAATCCACCGCACGTCCGCACGGGAAGCAACAAATGCACCTGATCCCTTCCCTATATATATATATATATATATATATATATATATATATATATATATATATATATATATATATATATTTGATATACTCATAATTTCTTTACAAGATAGTATCTATTCTCTACTTTCTCAATCATTCTCGGGGTTCGATCTTGTGACCACCCATTTGGACGGGTAACAGATGTGTTATCACACTAGGCAAATTAGGTACTAAATTAATCATACAAAAATTTAATTTTGATTTTGTATATTAAAAAAATACATATCTGACCAAATATATGTGAAATCTAACTATATTATTATATTGTATATTTTAATATCTTTTAATTTTTTATTTAAATTCATGATAATATAATTTCTTTCGCGTAGGGTAAAACAGTGGTATATTAATATTATAATACTAATTACTCATATTAAATGTAATAAATTTATTATAATAATGCATCATGGTTATGGTTCACCACACTTTTATAAGTTTTATGCTTGAGATGTTTGAAGAGTATATTGCAATAAAGTGTAGCCAAGGAATCGGAGCAGCTGAGATTCCACACTTTTACAGAATCACAAGTGAATTTACAAGTTCTCAAAAAAAAAAAAAAAAAAAAAAAAAAAAAAAAAAAAGTGAATTTACAAAAAAAAAAAAAGTTAATTTCAGCAAAGGTCCTCTGAGTATGCTGATTTTCCACAATTGGTCATCGTCTTTTAATTTAGACAAATTTGACACTTGACTATCAAAATCTTTCCAATGTTGCTCCTTCCGGTAAATAGCTGTTATTTAGACATCAAAATGAGGGGTAAAACTGTCCTTTCATCTGTTGAGTGTCTTCTTCTTCTTCGTTAGCCTCTCTTATACGCCATGTATATGCTGTGATAAATCTCTCCATGCCCTACTCTCAGCTTCTCACACCGAGCTCACCTCCTTCTCTCGCGTTCGTGGCACTTCGACAACCTTCTATCTCAAGAATGTAGGTCCATCTTCGAATCGGCGGTCGAAGATTTGCGTGGCCTCATCAAGCCGCCGACTTCGTTGCCATCGGCTTGGAAATGACCGGAGTTACCAGCGCCTCTGGAGAGATTACGTCCTTCGAGCTTGACTGCTATGACATTTGGTACTTCAAAGTCAAGGACTCCGCCAAGAAGTTTGCCGTCGTTCAGTTTGGAGTTTGCCCCTTCTGATGGGACTCTGTCAAAAACTTCTTTGTTGCTCATCCGTATGTCACTGTGATTTCTACTGCTACCATTCGATTTCTTTTCTTATTCATTGCAGTACATAATGAGTTCATTTGTATTATTCCCTTTTTTTCGTAACCAAAACAAAAGTAAAAACGAAAAATTATTACAATAGAAAAGTAGTAAGTTTTAAAATTAAAATGCTAAGAGTTTATTTTTTTGGTGTAATTTTAATGTATTATTTCACGTCATTTTGATAGGAAGCTAACTGGCAATTTAAACAACATGAATTTTCAAAGAAAGGGGTAATCTTTTCTTTTTAAATTAAGAAAGGATTGGAAAACTTTGCATCATCTCATAAAACCTGAAGGATAGAATATAAAAACATCCTCTATCTAGCAAGATGTGTTAATATAAAGAACTGCAGAATTGGAATGAGTTTTATCAGTATGAGGCTAACGAAGAAGAAGAACACACTCAGTTGAAAGGACAGTTTTACCCCTCACTTTGACGTCTAAATAACAGCCATTTAACGGAAGGATCAACAATGGAAAGATTTTGATAGTCAAGTGTCAAATTTGTCTAAATTAAAAGACGAGAACCAATTGTGAAAAATCACTATAGTCAGAGGACCTTTGCTGGAATTAACTAAAAAAAAAATAAGGTGTGAGAGTGAGAGACGTGCAAGGGCTCTACTACTAGCCTAAGAGGGCTATGGGTTCTAAGACCCTTTTCCCTCTCCTTTTATTTTGTTTTATTTTTTTTTCCAATTTCATTTCATATTGAGTGTACCGTCATAGTTTACACTTTACACCACTGCCTATTTCTCTTCATCCTGATTTTCAGATTCTTTTTAAAGCTCTCTCTGCATTTACTCTTTTGATTCCTTCTTCGCCAATCGCCGCTTCTTGATTGCCGCCTCTCCCAATTATCTTTGTCTCTTTCCTTTTAACATTTCTATATTTCTCTCCTTTTATAGGATATATATATATATATATATATATATATATATATATATATATATATATATATATATATATGATGTAGCATTACGCCATTACCCTTTAGCCTTTCTCCTCTCTCTCTTCTCTCATTTATGTATGTGGGTACCGAAAATTTATTGAAATAAACTCTGTTTTGAAGATTATATTTAACTGGGTTTCTTGAAATTAAGCCACAAAATACTGTGTATATAGGTTACGGGGCCAAAAATGACTGTAGAGCAGAGGAATGATAAGCAAAATGATGAGTTTCCAGTGGGGATGAGAGTGTTGGCTGTGGATGACAACCCAACTTGCCTGATGGTGTTGGAAAATCTGCTTCGGAAATGCCAGTACCATGGTCTGTGTTCTTTCTTCTGTCCCATTTCTTCTGCCACCAATACACATAGATAGATGCTTGTGTCTATATTGATATTAATAATAATTTTTGAAAAGTGTTTAGTCAGACTTTAATTTGTGCGTGTTTGAGTGAATATCTGATTTGTTTTGTTTTTGTTTTTCTTCTTTTCAGATTTGAGTTGTTTTGTTTGGGTTTTCCTTTCTCTATTTATGCATGTAGGAGAGAAACTGTACCTCCAATCAGTGAGTGCCTGTTTTGTTAAAACTATTTAATCACATTGTTGGTTTTATGATTCAGATTATTGATTCAATAGTTTGCTTTAAGTGTTTGAGAAAAAATATAGATTATAGATTGCTCAATGGTAGCCAATAAGCCATTGATTATTCACAATCTTCAATAATAAGCATTACCCCTTTACCAAATGGGATGGGACCTATATTTTATTAGTTTTGGTATAAAGTTTGGATTTTTGTTCTCATCTTGTGACTAGATATATTCACACATCATATGTGGTGACTGCTTCTGTATTGGTCATTAATTCTCTGTTCCTATTTGCAGTCACGGCAACAAACCAGGCCATCCGGGCATTGGAACTATTACGAGAGAACAAAAATGAGTTTGATTTGGTCATTAGTGATGTTGATATGCCAGATATGGATGGTTTCAAGCTGCTAGAGCTTGTAGGGCTGGAGATGGATTTACCTGTCATAAGTGAGTGATAGAACCCTAATTCATGGTGACATTATTATTGAGCATTTTAGTATTTGATTAATTGTTTTCAATTTCTGTGATTCTAGTGCTATCAGCATATGGTGATACCAACCTTGTGATGAAGGGTATCACCCATGGAGCTTGTGATTATTTGCTGAAGCCTGTCCGCATTGAAGAGCTAAAGAACATATGGCAACATGTACTAAGGAGAAAGAAGTTTGAGCAGAAAATTTCTAACAAACCTGATGGTGAACTAGGCAGAGGGTTCAGAGGGATGGGAAAAACTGATCGGAATGGTAAGCCTACCAGGAAAAGGAAGGACCAGAGTGATGACGAAGATGAGGAGCTGGATGAAAACAGTGGGCGAAGTGAGGACCCATCAGCTCAGAAAAAACCCCGTGTTGTTTGGTCTGTAGAATTGCACCAAAAATTTGTTGCTGCAGTTAATTACCTGGGAATTGATAGTAAGTTTTCATCTTTCATCGAAAAATTTGGCAGTTCTTTCAGAGGGATCCTCTGTAATTTCACTTTATTAGTTAGCTTATCATTATTTATGTTCTTATTTGCATTATAGAGGCTGTGCCTAAAAGAATTTTAGAGTTGATGAACGTGGAGAAGCTGACCCGAGAAAATGTGGCAAGTCATCTCCAGGCAAATTCTGTGCCCTCGGAACTTTTTTGATGGACGGCTTTCACTTTTACTAGGCTTACTGTTGCTTTTATATGATTGCAGAAATACAGAATTTTCCTCAAAAGACTTGATTCTGTTGCGTCGCAGCATGCCAACATGGTTTCAGTTTTAGGAAGTGCAGATCCTAGCTACTTAAGAATGGGTTCTCTGAATAATATTGGAAATATCCCTTTTAACCCGCTCAGATCCATCTCATCTGGTTCAGTGCTTACGAGACTGAACAGTCCTTCTGGACTTGGGATGTGTGGGTTTGCCCCTTCTAGCATGATTCAGCTCGCCAATGCACCTAATTCTAGCAGTTCAATCACTAGCGAAATTAACTTTCAGCAGTCCATACAGCCTGGAAACCGAGATATGGATATTCTTGAAGGGATGCCATTGCCATTAGGAACTGATAATCTCGGAGTTACTCATCTTTATCCTTTTTCAAATGGTACGCGAATGCCAGAAAGAAAAATAGATGGAGATGGCAGAAGGAACTTGAATATTGGTGTTTCAGATAACTCTATAATTTTGAGGTCCCGAGGTCAATGCGTTCAAAGGAAAGATTTTCTTGACAATCACTTCCCCGTTATAGCATCTCCCATGAATACTGAGAGATGTAACGACAATTGGCCAACAGCTACTCAATCATCTCTTCTCGAAGCAAATTCTTTTGGTACCGGTGTCTACTCACACCACGCTATGCCCGGGGATTTGGGAAACAACGCTATGTCTTCTAATTTACATAACCCTTTAAACTCGGTGTGTCCTCAAGTACCTGACACTAGAACCGAGATGCAATGCCTGACAACGATAATTGACAATGTTTCTGGAGTGAAGATGAATTTTAGCCCTCGACAAGATTGGGACGACTTTGAACCGGATTCAGCTCATGTTCCAAGCCTCGTATGCAGCTCCTCCGCTAACACATTTCTTCCTCCAGATGGTGGCCAGAGGTTCGATTTCGAGAAACTCCATATATATATAATAATAATAATAATGATGATCTTAGTTCTATGGTGTAAATGAATAGTGTTGTTGGTTCTTTCTCCAGGCAGCAGCAGCAGCAGCATGATGAATTTGAAAACGCGGCTGTAGATATGAAACAAGAATATTTAGAGGAGCAATAGAAGCTGGAATTGCTGGAGAATTGAGTTTCATGTTTGGAAAGGTATGGAAACTATGAAATTTTCTGCTTTCTTTTCTTCACCTATTTACGTGTTGTGGCTCTGAAGTCTTCTTTGATAATAGATTATGGCCCTATTTGGTAAATGACTGTTAGCTGATAACGGTTAGCTGATTGGATTAATTAGAGGGTATAAACCATATAACTAGTTGATGTATAAAAGTATTTCGTAAATTAGCTGTTAGCTGATAGTTGTTTGGTATAATTTCTTTTCTTAAAAAGTTAATTGAAAAAGTTGTTTTGAGCAGCTTTTTGAATTTTAACTTTTTTGAGTTGATTTTTTAACCAAGTCAAATAATTAATAGTGATTAAATAAGTCAAAATTGGCTGATAAGCTAATATTTTACCAAACAGGACCTATATATTTAGAATGTTCATGTAGAGAGGTCTTTTTTGGTTAGACAATAAAGGTGTTCTGAGCAGATTCTAATTGTAAGAGATACTTTTAAGCTTGTACTATACTCCGACGTTTATGTATTACTCCGATCCATATTATAGAAGCATCAGATTAGTTTAAGTTGGATCTGTGATTGATGCAGGAGGATAACATGAGATCCTAAGTTACGTTGGAGTTGAGGAAAGCTAGGGGATATGATCGCGGGATTTTCAGTCAAATAGATGACGGGCAAACTTGTTGGATGGGAGTATGGAGGGCGAACCGGTTAATAAACAATACAAACGTTCCAACTATGAGCTGAATTCTTTAATATATTGAGCCAGTAAAGACTTGTTTAAGGCAGTGATTTAGGAACACTGAGATGAGAAGTTTCTAGTGCGTTCATATGTTAATGCAATAACCAAATGCCTTTGAGTTATTATCTTAAACAACTTGAGAACAAGATTGTCTGTGATATGTGTCTTTTTTTTTTCTTTCTTGCAAATGTCCGGATACTGCAATATATCTGAGATTATATCACCTGGGTTCCCTTGACTATTGTGATTTATTTGTAAAAGTTTCTTCATTAATTTTTTTTGTTTGATTTAGTCCCTTAACTATGAAAACGTTATCTAAAGTAATTCTCGATTAGATTTTATGTTAAATTTTTGTTAGACACATTCTCTTATCCTTTCAGTCCGAGAACTCTGAATTAGTTATTTTATGTTTTATTTTATCTTAAGATTGAAAGAAGTTAAAATCCCCAAATTCATAGGAGGTTCTCTTTGTCCTTCTTCGCACAGGTAATTGAAGGCCTGATAAGTTTCTATTAGCTTTTCCTTTCCCTTCGTTAGTTATATACTCGCGAATAGAGTTGCTTTTTACATTGAAATGTATAGTTTTTGTTTGGTATGGTTAGTTGATGCTTGTGAAATTTATGGTTTATGTTTGGTTGTTATTGGGCGGGCATTTTTATTATTATTATTTTATTTTATTTTGGTATTAAAGAAATGCATATAGTTTGAACACTATGAGTTGGGTCCTACTTGTTTCGTTTTAAATAAAGTATATGTTTTTTTTTTGTTTATGGGTTTAAGTTGTCTCCTGAATGGTAGGTAAACCAGTACAATTTGAGCACTAAATAATGAAGTTTGCATATTGTATATGCCTGGGACCAATTGTGGATTTATAAATATGTCAGGACCACTTGTGAATTTTTGTCTAGGAACACTTGTGATTACCTTTATAAACTGTCCATAATGTATGTCTGGGGCCACTTGTGATACTGTCCACATATTGTTAACAAAAGATGATGTGGCAGAACAAATATGGTGGCTGAAGTTGATGGATATCCTGTGGTAGAAGAGATTACTGATGCCTTTGCACATCCCATCATACGCAATGCAAACAATGTTATTGCCGAAAGGGGTGTGTGACTCGATTGATAAAACAACAAGAAATTTCCTATGGGGGAGTGATGGGACCAAAAGGAAAATAAGCCTTGTAAATTGGGATACGGTTACCCTGCCAAAAGAAGAAGGCGGCCTTGGAATCAAAACTATGAGAAGTATGAACTTATCGCTACTAGCAAAGTTGGGGTGGAGAGTGCTCAAAGAAGACAAGAGCATATGGTCTAGGGTTATTACTTGCAAATATATGAAAGCGGAGAAAAGTATTAGCAGAATGACTCAGAAAAGAAGTGAATCTAATATCTGGAAAGGTATTTGTTAGAAGTTAGGGTTGGTTGAGAGGATTACTCTCAACCCTTGAGTTTGAATTTTGAAATAAGTGGTATAGGCCTTTCATTAGCTTGTATATATATATCTTTCCTCTGTACAGTGAACATATGTGATATACAACAGAGAATAGATAGTATTTCCTACTAGCACCGTCACTTGTCTAACATGGTATCAGAGCACCTGTGACGGTGAGAGAGTGGGTGTTGCTTGGAGGAGGACGGCGACCCTTCGTCGACGATTCGCGACGCCATCGGAGTCGTAACGCGCCACGCGCCACGCGCCATAGTTGGTCGTCGACTCACGCGCCGGAGCGTGAGGGTGATTCCGGCGACCTTTTTTGATGGCGAACACACCGGAGGACTCGCCGTGAGGAGGACGGCCGTTCTGGGTGGTCTGCGAGAGGGTGTGTTGAAGTTGCTAGAGGGTTTGCGAGAGGGTGCGAAGCTGCCGAGTCTGCGAGCGTACGTTGTTTTGCGTTGGCGTTTGCATACAAGTAATATTTCATCTGTCCCTTCCTTTTTTGCGTTTTTTTTTTTAATGGGGGAGGCAACAAGAAATATTACTTGTAATGTTATATCTACCCCATTTAAATTAGTTGATATAGTGCTTGCACCGGATGAGTTTAATTTTGGTGAGGGGAGGTTTTTGGTTGAAATTAATTTAGGGGGTATGGGCAAAGACAAACATTTGACTGGGACATGTCCAACTGAGCAAACTGATGCTTAGGAGTGGAATAGGGATGATAAAGCTTTGTTGTCCCGCATAATAAATTGTATTGATAGGAAAATAATTCTATCTATGCAACACTGCAAAATCGTGAAGGAGGTTTGAGACTTGGTGAATAAATGGTTTAGTGGGACAAACAACCTGAGGAAATTGTATCAATTGTCTCAAGATGTTCATCGTCCCTCCCAAAGTGGATGAGACATCCGAGATTATTTTTATGATTTCAAGAGTGCGAGTGAGGCGTTGTGTACTGCTATGCCAGTCTTGGATTTGGAGACAGTGAAAAAGCAACGTGATCAGTTGCATGTGTTTAGCTGGATTTCAGGGTTAGATAAAGAATATGATGTCCTGAAGTCTCAGTTGCTAGGGCATAAAGAGTTAGAATCAATAGAGCAAGTTTTTACTATGGTCCAAAATGCCTCAAGTACAGGTAGCGGAGTCTCGGAGAAACATGTTTTCGTGGCGCAAGGGGATAGTGGAGGTGTAGGTTCTGGTAATCGCGGGGGTCGATTCCCATGATGTGGTGGATTTGGTAGAGGACGTGGTCGAAGAGGTCCGAGGGTTTGCTATAATTGTGGAGAACCTGGCCATCTACGCAACCAGTGTCCGAAACCTCTACGACTACAGAGTTTTGCTATCTCTATCTCCAAACTGGAAGGGAATGTTGTTGTGATGACAGATGAGGAGTTGGCTCTGTTCAAGCAGTTGAAAGTGTCTACCTCACAACCTCTAAACAGTCAGGAAACATTACCGTCTTCCTCAGCCACGTTTTTCCAAACAGGTAATCCTACTGCTTGTGTCTCCTCCTCGTCCCGACAGTGGGTCATTGATTCTGGAGCCAGTGATCATATGTCAAGTAATCTAAATGTCTTTTCTAAATATTCTCCCTTTCCGCCTGGTACTACAGTTACCCTGGCGGATAGTTCGTCCGCTTCAGTTTCGGGTAGAGATAGTACCAGTGTAATCCCGTCATTACCTCTCTCTCGCGTGTTATACCTTCCGAAATTTTTGTTCAACTTGCTGTCGATAAGTTAAATCACTCGAAATCTAAATTGTTGTGTCGTGTTCTTTCCTGGTTATTGCTTGTTTCAGGATCTTTTGACGAAGGCGATTATTGGTAGAGGAAAAGAAGCTGGTGGGCTATATGTGCTGGAACAGTTCTCTCATAATCGTGAAAGTGCTCCGGTTAGTCTGTTGAGTAGTACGTCTCCTTTCCAATTACATTGTCGGTATGGTCACCCGTCTGTATCTATTTTAAAGAAGTTATGTTCGAACTTAGAGTCTTTGTCTATTTTGCAATGTGAATCTTGCGAGTTTGGGAAGCATCGTCGGGTTCCATATCCGCCTAGAGTCAATAAAAGGGAGAGGAACCCGACAATGCTTCGCAAACTCGCAAGATTCACATTGCAAAACAGACAAAGACTCTAAGTTCGAACATAACTTCTTTAAAATAGATAAAGGCGGGTGACCATACCGACAATGTAATTGGAACGGAGACGTACTACTCAACAGACTAACCGGAGTACCTTTAGGATTAGGAGAGAACTGTTCCAAGCACATATAGCCCACCAGCTTCATTTCCTCTACCAATAATCGCCTTTGTCAAAATATCTTGAAACAAGCAATAACCAGGAAAGAACACGACACAACAATTTAGATTCTGAGTGATTTGACTTATCAACAGCAAGTTGAACGTAAATTTCGGAAGGTATAACACGCGAGAGAGAGGAAATGATGGGGTTACACTGGTACCTCTACTCGAAAGGCCGAAACTGAAGCGGACGAACCATCCGCCAAGGTAACTGTAGTACCAGGCGGAAAGGAAGAATATTTAGAAAAGACATTTAGATTACCTGACATATGATCACTAGCTCCAGAATCAATGACCCACTGTCGGGACGAGGAGGAGACACAAGCAATAGGGTTACTTGTTTGGACAAACGTGGCTGAGGATGACGGTAATGTTCGGATTGTTTAGAGGCTGTGAGGTAGACACTTTCAATTGCTTGAACATAGCCAACTCCTCATCTGTCATCACAACAACATTACCTTCCGGTTTGGAAACAGAGTTAGCAAAGCTCTATGGTCGGAGAGGTTTCGAACATTGGTTGCGTAGATGGATGGGTTCTCCACAATTATAGCAAACCCTCGGTCCTCCTCGACCACGTCCTCTACCAAAGACACGACGTCCTGGGAATCGACCCCCGCGATTATGAGAACCTACACCTCCACTATCCCCTTGCGCCACGAAAACATGTTTCTCCGAGACTCCGCTATCTGTACTTGAGGCATTCTGGACCATAGTGAAAACTTGGTCTATTGATTCTAACTCTTTATGCCCTAGCAACTGAGACTTCAGGACATCATATTCTTTATCTAACCCTGAAATCCAGCTAAACATATGCAAATGATCACGTTGTTTTTTCACTGTCTCCAAATTCGTGACTGGCATAACAGTACACAAAGCCTCACTCGCACTCTTGAAATCATAAAATAATCTCGGATGTCTCGTCCATTTTGGGAAGGACGATGAACATCTTGAGACAATTGATACAACTTTCTCATGTTGTTTGTCCCACTAAACCATTTATTCACCAAGTCCCAAACTTCCTTCACGGTTTTGCAGTGTTACATAGATAGAATTATTTTTCTTTCAATACAATTTATTATGCTGGATAACGAAGCTTTATCTTCCCAATTCCACTCTTGAGCCTCAGTTTGCTCGGTTGAACATGTCCCAGTCAAATGTTTATCTTTGTCCATACTCCCTAAATTAATTTCAACCAAAAATCTCCCCTCACCAAAATTAGACCCATCCGGTACAAGTATTACATCAACTAATTTAGATGGGGTAGATATAACATTACAAGTAATAATTCTTGCTTCCGCCATAATAAAAACCACAAAATAAAACTCCAACCAACCGACGCAACTCGTCACTCTTGGAGAACACTTCAACCAACCTTCGATAAAACTCTAAAAACAACCTACCCAGATCGACTGTACTCCCCCGGGCGAGCTCATCGGTGTGATTGTAGTCGCAGAAGGTCACCGGAAAAACACTCACGCGCCGGCGCATGGATCGGCCGGCAGTGTTGCGGTGGCGCGTGGCAGCCCTAATGGCGTCGCCGTCGTCTTCCGGTCGCAACCCACCCTCACCGTCGTCGCTCTAATACCATGTAATGTAAAGTTTGTAAAGTGTGTATTTATGTTATCTGTGTATCTATTCACTATACAGAAGAAGCTATATATACAAGCTAATGAAAGACCTACACCACTTATTTCAAAATTCAAACTCAAGGGTTGAGAGTAATCCTCTCAACCAACCCTGAATTCTAACAAACACTATGAGTTAGGTTTTACTTGTTTCGTTTTAAATAAAGTACATGTTTTTTTCTGTTTATGGGTTTAAGTTGTATCCTGAATGAGAGGCAAACCAGTACAATTTGAGCACTAAATAATGAAGTTTGCATATTGTATATGCCTGAGACCAATTGTGGATTTATAAATATGTCGCGACCACTTGTAAATTTTTGTCTAGGAACACTTGTGATTACCTTTATAAACTCTCCATAATGTATGTCTGGGGCCACTTGTGATACTGTCCACATATTGTTGGCAGAACAAATATGGTGGCAGAAGCTGATGGATATCCTGTGGTAGAAGAGATTACTGTTAACACTCAACTGCCTCCATTGGAATGATAAAGCTGCATTCAGTGCAAGTGGTGAGAAACTGAGAATGATAAAGCTCCAATCAACCTTTTGACTACTAAGAATAATAACGTACTGCCTGGAGATCTTCTTGGTTTTGAATGGAAAATTAGAGATTTGGTTCTCCATTTTAGCTCTGAAAGGTATACAAAGGCGCCAATGGACTGAAAGGACGTGGATACCCTTGTGTCAAACAAAGATTTATTGTGAAATCTAACAGAGGATTACTTTAGGTAACATTTTCGTAGTTAAGGGACTAAATCAAGCAAAAAATTAATAAGGGACTTTTACAAGTAAATCGCAATAGTCAAGAAATCAGAATTGGTATAATCTCAATACCTTTGCAATATGCTTAGCATTAGTTATCACTTTTATAACAATTTTGATAGTTGCTAGGATTGATTGTATTTAGACTTAGATTTTGATGATGTCTTTGAAGTGTCTTAGAAGTTTGAAGCAGGACTATAGACTCCCCCATCTCTCTCTATTGAAAAAGTTGAAGCAGCAGACCAGCCAAAGTGAATACCAACCGAGGTGAAGATGCAGATAAGGAAGAAGTTCTAGTTGAAGAGCATAAATCAGTTGCAATTGTTGATCAACTGATTAATTAAAGTTGACTTATATCTAAGCTAATCAACAAAAGGGCGTAGCAACAGATCAGCAGATGAAGTAGCAAGCTAAGAAGTAGTGGACAATTTAAGTGGACCACTTAGCAACAATTTAAGTGGACCAGCTAAAGAAAGAAGATTAGCTGACATTGAAGTAGTGAAGGAAGAAGATCAGATGACTCTGAAATAGTAAAGGAAGATTCCAGATGAAGAAAAGACAAAAGAGGTTGAGATTTTGAGAACCCCTAGCACTTAAGTGCACATTTTTATGCCTTCAAGTGCACAATTATGTGCCAATGTTTATTATATCTTTTGCATTCTTTTCGATAACGTATAACAAAATTTTTAATGAAATTTGTGAGATTTACAAACGATTTGAAAGGGTAATTGCTTCAATAACACTTAAGTTGAATAACTTTCCTTTTTTGTACCATAAATTGCTTTGATTGCACATCTTTGTGCCTCTGAATGTAGAATTTTAGCATTCAAGTGCACAATTATGGACCAATATTTATTATATCTTTTGCATTCTTTTCAATAATGTATAACTAAATTTATAATGAAATTTGTGAGATTTACAAACAATTTGTAATGGTAATTGGTTCAATAACACTTAAGTTGAATAGCTTCTCTTTTTGGTACCATAAATTGCTTTGATTGCACGTCTTTGTGCCTTTAATTGCATAATTTAGCATTTGAGTTCACATTTATGCCTTCAAGTTCACAATTTTGGACTTTGAATGCATATTTTTGTACCTTCCAGTGCACATGTTTTTATTTTATTTTATTTTATTTTATAGAAATTCTATTTTAAGAGCCACTAATCACATTTATCCGCACTTTCACATGGGAACTCCCCTTCGCACCTGATCTTAAGTGTGTGTGTGAGTTTCCTTCTTAAGGTGCTTGATTTTTGTGCTTAAGGTGCGTGAGTTTTGTGCTTAAGGTGCGTGAGTTTTGTACTTAATGTGAGTAGTTATTGAAACTTGATGTATGACTATTGTAGATTGATCCCGCTAGGTTGAGCTAAAGAAGTTCAAATTTACAACAAAATTGATAATTTCACATAAGTTCAAATATCACAATTAAATAATTTCAAAATAGATGATTAATTTTGAATACATTATTAAAAAAATTTAAAAATAAACCTTTAAACTTTTTTTACAATACCTAAAATAAATTTTACCAAATATAACCCATGTATATTTCAGTTTACCTGAAACTTTGTAATTGGTGCATTCCAGGTGAAATAGACATTAGCTAACAATTGATATAACTATACAAATTATACTATATACCTTGAATCATTGACTCTACTAGTTTGTTAAGAGATTTTATTCCTTGGTTTGAACGTCTCCCTCAACTCCAACTTCCACCCACCAAAATATCAATATTACGCTTCCCAAATTTGGTTTCTACTCACCTTAATCTCTTCGACGTACTAAGCAAACCGCAGGTTGTTTGTCTGCTTGTCTGCCTCTCTCGACCACTCCGTTGCTGGGTTTCACATGGATCCGCCGCCTAGCTCTTGGGATTCCTTGCGAAAACAGGTAACCCGCTACTTTTATCTCCCTGCGACTTCCCCTCGCATCGATCATGAATTGAAAGTTGTGTTGTTGAAATTGAATCCATTTCTTTGAAGTTTGATTGGTTCATCTATGGAGGAAAGTTTATAACTCTAGGTTTTGCTCCATCTATTGTGTCATATGTCTATATCACGTCAAAAAAGTACATTTCTTGATGTTAAGTTGAGGAATTGATGGCTGCTACACTTTATTCTGATCTAATGGAATCTCATGCTTTAGTAGAAAGGAGAATTGGTTGTGTTTTGTAGTATAAGCTGTGCTTTGATCAGGTTAGAGTGTGTGATTAATGGAAATAATGCATTCTGAAAACTCAGCTGCGAAAAGAAAAATCCTGTTTGAGGAGGTTAAGAATCCACTTGCCTTGGATATTGAGGCTTTCAGAATTGTTGATCTGTTGGCAAATAACTAGGTGTGAACTAAGGAAGCCATTAGAACTGCAACAGTGCAGAATCACAATCACTTGATCTCTTACAAGTTGATGTGATTATGTGAGTATAGACTTTGAACTTTGGCTACTGTAGATTATAGCCTTGATGCTTCAGATCTAAGCCACGCAACTTTGAACCTTAAATATAGAGCAAATACCAATTTTGGTCCCACGAGTATTAGCAAAATGACAGTTTTGGTCCACATGTTTAATTCGTACCAATTTTCATCCACGACTATTGTTTTAGTACCAATTTTCATCCACGACTATTGTTTTAATTAGTGCCAAAATTCATTACGCCGGTCACTCATTCATTTAAGACATGACGGAATCTAAAATTTTTAAGGGTATTTTCGTCATTTTCAACCTAAGATCCCAATTTGAGCCTGAATAATGAGATTTAAGCCCTAAGATCGATCCCAATTTGCAATTCTCCTCTTCGTCCTACCTTAATTTGAGGATGAGAACTGTGAATTGGAATTGATCTTAACGCTTAAATCCCTTTATTCATGCTCAAATTGGGATCTTAATTTGAAAATGATGAAAATACCCTTAATAATTTCATATTTTGGCATATCTTAAACGGAAGGGTGACCGGTGATGAATTTTGGTACTAAAGCAATAGTCGTGGATGAAAATTGGTACTAAAGCAATAGTCGTGGATGAAAATTGATAGGAATTAAACATGTTGACCAAAACTGTCATTTTGCTAATACTCGTGGAACCAAAATTGGTATTTGCTCCATATATATATATATACTAGTTTTTTACGCGCATTGCGCGATTAGGATAATGCCCAATGTTTTTTTTTTTTAAATAAGTACTTTAAAGTATATTAAGGCAAGATTATATTGAAATTGTTCATGCATATATATATACCTCTCAAACCGGTTGGGAGTTGGGACTCACTAATCTTTCTTAGTTGAGCTAGGTTGACTTTAAGGGAAGAATTATAAAACTTGTTATTGAAGATGATATGGTTGGTATTACTTGAAAAGGATTGATCTTTTGTTTTTGAAGAGATAAGAGGATAGAGAGTAGAGAATTCTTACCGCATGGGCAAGGAACCTAGAATACAGAGTTGAGGTGACAAAGCTTCTTAGTTCTTACTATGGGAAGGATAGTGTTACAACTGAATACAATCATCACAAGAACAAAGGGCGGGATTTTATGAGCTGCCCGTATCTGCTGCTTATGACAACTTAGCTTTTAATTTGAACTTTAGTGCTTGCTTCTTGGGATCCTAGTACTCATGTGCATTTTCCTTCAGAATCTCTTTATTCTCTGCTAATGGTTCTTTCTGTTATCTGACTAGGCAAGGAAGCTTGAAGCTCAGCTCGATGAGCAGATGCAGTTATATCGTAAATTGGTGAACACAAAAGTTGACAATGCCACAGATAATGACCTTGAAATCAGGATAGATCAGCTACTTAAACAGCTGCAACAAGTGAACTCTCAAATGCAAACGTGGGTCTCATCTGGGGGATCTGAAATATTTTCGCATACATTGACTCGCCATCAAGAAATCCTTCAGGATCTTACTCAGGTATTTGGTACAGCGGTTTACTTTATTATCGCTCTTTTTGGTGAAACTTTGTATTTTTTTTTTTCTCCTAGTAATATGATTAAAACAAAAAATGTTCATTGATTTGTAGGAATTTAATCGCCTCCGTTCTAGTCATAGAGCTAAAAAAGAGCATGCCTCATTGCTTGATGATTTTAGGGAATTTGATCGCACTAGATTAGATCTGGAAGATGATGGTGGCTCTTATGATCAAGCGCTTCTTAATGAGCGTGCTTCCCTACACAGGAGCACAGGACAGGTAACTATAAAATGGTTGTTTTTTTATACATTCCCCTTCCCAAAACTAGATTCTTTGTTAAACAACTTTTTGCATTTTGTTCATTAAAATATTACATCATACATGAGCATTATCAAACATTCGTTGGTCAAAAACAGATAGAGTAGCATGCCCAGATATTGATATTAGTCATATTACTACTTTATTTCGCTTGCAATTGTTGTAACAAGTGGAAATGTAGAATCACACTTTGCTATCAAGTGATGCTCGCAGTTGGTTTTTTGGGTGAATAGATCTGATATTTCCCTATTTTCCTTCGAATTTTTAACCTTTTCGTACTTTTAGGCATCACCACAGAAAATTTGAATGCTCATGATCTTAACTTCAAGTTAATTGGCCAAGACCTTGTGGTCTAATGGCACTCGGGTTGCACTCCCATATAGAAAGTAGTTTATGAACAGATACTACATTGTAATAGAGTCAGTAGCATTCAAAAAAAAAAAAAAAAAAAACTTCAAGTTAATTGATGTATATCTGTTAAGATGTGATAATGTGAATGTAATGACATCTTGTTACTTCAATGACCAACTTTAAGAGTTATATTGCTTCAGATGGATGGCGTGATTTCTCAAGCTCAAGAAACTATAAAGGCACTTGTGTACCAACGATCAACATTCGGTGGCATTAATTCCAAGCTTAGCAATGTCAGCAGTCGGCTTCCAACTGTAAGGATCTCTCTCTCTCTCTCTCTCTCTCTCTTCATGATGTTTCGACTTTATCATTCTTTGAATATCAAAGATTACTTCATTTAACTGGTTAGAACAAAATTTAAATTTAAGCCGTATTGAATTAACATACTCAAATGCTAAACTTAAACCAAATCGAACCTCTCCTAACACATTCTTTCGTCGATAAAGAGTATCCTTGCGCTTGCCAATTGGTATGTAAGCGACTTGATTTTGCTCTGCAGGTTAATCACATTCTTTCGTCGATAAAGAAGAGAAAGTCCATGGACACGATCGTTCTCTCGTTAGTTGCCTCAGCCTGCATGTTTCTTATCTTGATTTACTGGTTCACAAAATGAGAAGGTACCATTGTGCATCTCCAAGGCTTCAGCATGTTTGAGTGCTCCATTTTATTCTTTTGTATATTACCTAGTGTAATTTTTATTTTATTTTATTTTTTTGGTTGTATTTTTAACATGGGAGAAATCTTGAATTGTTCTTTTATGCATTCTGTTGTTCATATACAAACACAAAGTTATTGTTAAAAAGTCAGTATCAGAGCTTCATGATTCACTGACACCAGTTTGTAGAGTAGGAGAAAAACATCAATTTGGGGAAATATAGCATTGTTTTGTGAAAAATAAGCAAAAATTTAAATTTCATTTGACATTTTTGTAAATTTGGGTAAATTATACCATGGACTAGGGTCTACCTTGCATTGTAGATCGTGGTCCAAAAATAACTTTCAGATTCTGTATCTGTAGTTGACAGTTTTTGTACTTGTAGTTGGCAGTTTTTGTACCCGTAGTTATCATATTATGTGTTAGCAATTATCAAGTTATTTGTATCAGAGTTGCAATATGAATCTGGTTCATGGTATAACAATTGGTAAATATGTGCTCCATACAAATTTTTTCCCAAAAAATCTGCATCATTTTTGAGAAAATATGTATCGTTTGGCCTAATTATGTCTGGGGAAAGTTAAAATCACATCATTTTGTGGTCTAATGGTACCCGGGTTGAACTTTCATTTGTAAGTTTGAGCCTCAGTATAGGTGTTATTGGTTCTTTGTGTTTTAGCAGGTTGAGAAAGTAAATGTATAATTTTCCACACGCATTATTTTAGGTTAAATACATTCGATCTAAAACTGCATTGGTTTAATCATGAAGTTTAAATACACATCATTTTGGGATAGTTATATATATTTTTATTCAAATTTTTATTTATTTAAAGAAATGTCACCATCTTAAAAATAAAAAAAAAATAAAAAAAAAACAAAAAAAAAAAACTAACATAATGTGCCATTCTTACAGGATCTCAGGCCATTTAGAAGATGTGACTATGATTTTATGGTTTTTATTTTGTTTTTAAGGGAATAAGGTTCAAATTAACCACTGAATGTAACCTGAAAATACAATTAGGTCATTGAAGAATAAAAATGTGTAATTAGGCTACTAAACACTTCAAAAACGTGCAATTATGTCACTGAACACTCTAAATGTATACAATTTCACCGGATAATAGGTTACCATCAATTTTAGCAGGTTATCTGCTTACGTGGCAGCTGAGTTGGCATTTTAAATAATTTTTAATAATAAATTTTAAAAAAAAATAAATAAAAAAATTTTAAAAATAAAACGACCCCATCGTTTTTTTTTTTTATAAATTTATTATTAAAATTTATTTAAAAATTATTAAAAATGTCAACTCAACTGCCATGTAAGCATGTAACCTATTAAAATTGATGGTAACCTGCTATCAGGTGAAATTGCATACATTTGGAGCGTTCAATGACTTAATTATACTTTTTTTTTTTTTTTTCGTTTAGTGGTCTAATTGCATTTTCAAGTTACGTTCAGTGGTCAATTTGAACCTTATTTCATTTTTAAATTTTGGTAATTTTTAGAGGAATAATTGGGGTATTTACACTTGTTTATTATATGAACATAATTCTAAGTTCAAATAAAATAGAGTATGGCTCCAAGATAGCTCTCAATGCAAGAATAGAGATGGATCAAAATATCATAGACTTCACGTGAAACCCTTTAGGGGTCGTTTACTAACTGGAAATTTCCGGAAACACTGAAAATAATTTCTGGAAATTTATGAAAAACTGGAACACATTTAAAAACTGTTTTCGAAATGGAAAACAGAATCATCTATCATCTATTTAGTTATATATCACTATAGCCACATTACTATGACTACATTCATTATCATCTTATTTTAATTATCACTATCTTTTATCTTTTCTACTTACTTTACTTATTTAAACATAATTTATTTGCTTACTCTTTAAAGTTAGACATTATTTACATTATCAAAATTAAGAATTAAACTCTATATAATGTTTTAAATTTTGATTGAACTCAATAGGTTTTTTTTTTTTTTTTTTTTTTTTTTTTTTTTTGAAAGGAAACTCAGTAGATTATTAGTTCAAATATTTTTAATTATGTTACATCATAATACAAGTTCGGTCCAGATATCGGATATTGAAATCTCATATACATTAGAATTCAAAGTAAAAGTTATATATTCATATACATGTCATTCAAATGAATATATTCAAAAAAAAAAATCTTTTAAATATTAGCTCAAAAAATATTATTATTATCTAAACTAAATTTTAGGTGAAAACTGAAAAATTAAAAAACATAAAACAGAGAATAGTTTTTTATTAGTAAACAAGTTTTGTAAACAGAAAACAGAGAATGGAAAATAGAGAATGAAAACTGAAAATTAGAAAACAGAGAACATTTTTCTGTTGGTAAACGGACCCATAGTCTCGAATCCTTAAAGACTTAAGAAAAATCCCGTTGTAACTTCAAGTACCTTGATGATGCAATTTTCAATCAACTAGAGTTGGATCTAGTTTCCTGCCATTCAAGAATGAGTACACGAATCTAAATCTAAGGTTGAAGATAGAGAATGATTCGAGTCCACGAATCAATTGCTAGCCAAGTTCACGAGCTAGCCACTCATTGAGTCCACAATTAGCAATAAGATTTTTTACACAAGTGTAAAGAAAGACTTTAGAGTTTTATTGAAAGAAAAGCTATTCCAAAGCTGCTATGGTCGTGCCCTAATCATAGGCAGAGGTGCGACATTGTAGTTACAATGGGAAAAAGAGTCTTAAACCTAATGTAAAAAACCAATAAAGATAATCCTATTTACAAAGAGATTTAAAGAACGACAAACAATAACAGAAGCAGAAAATCCAAGCACTCACAACAGGGCTCCTTTCATTACCACTTAGACAAAACCACAACAAGGTTAGTTAAAGATGAATGTTGATGAATGAGTCATAAGCTCAAACTGGATTTAGTTGGATTCTCAAGAACGAATATGGAATGTTCCAAGTAGCAAAGTGCGTGATCAGAAGGGGTTTGTTTTCGGCTCATGAAGCGGAGGCATAGACGATATGTGATGCTCTCAGCTGGTTAAAGGATCAAAATATGAACGGTGTTCAAGTAAAAACGGATGCACTCCAAATAGTAAATGGTCTCGTCTTCTCTAATTTTGATTTGGTTTTATTAGATGTAAAAGACTTTTGTAATCATTTTTCTGAAGTGTTTGTCTTGTGTGCTAAGCGATACGCGAACTAGGTTGCCCACTTGTTAGCTAGGGATCGGAATCTGTGTCAATGGCTGATTGCATGGAGTGATTTTATAACCCTCCTAATTTCATTTGTAATGCTTCGACACTAGATGTCATTTAATGAAATTTATATATTTACTTTCAAAAAGTAAACAAATATTCACAATAATTTTTTATTTAAATTGGAAGTATTTAATAATATAGAAATTTCTATTTTGCCTTAGAATAAAGTTTAAAATTTTATTTGGACAAATTTGCCCCTTAATTAATATTTATGGGGGTTTGGATTATTGATTATGAATATGAGTTAAGATGTTGACTTTAATTACATACACGCACGTACGCGCGCACATATATATTCCAACATTTGGAAATCAAACATACTCGGTATATTTGTGACGTATTTATCAAGTTTTCATTTGAGCAATGTTACATCTTCTTACAAAAACCAATTAGTAATATTCAGTATATAATATGTTATTATTATATTATATTGTATTTATTGTTATTGACGTTTTTAAAAATTTTGCTATTGTGTAATAACCTACAAATTATACATGAGAGGTAAACTACACTTGAAAGACTCGGTGTGACGGGCTCGACTGAATAGTGTTGACAAGAATTGAATTCGTGACCTTTTGTCTTTCTGATATGAGAATCATGTTCCACCCACTCAGTCATCCTTTTTGAGATAACTTTTTTTATTATTATTTTTTTATTTTTATTAAACCTTGAATAAGTCTATAAATTCATGTGTAATTAAAAAAAAAAATTCTTTTTAAGATTTATAAATATTAATATATTATCATGCTGAAAAGATTTTTATTTTATTTTTGCTTTGTAAATTTGTTTTGGTGATGAGAAAAACCTTCAACTATTACTTGAATGTGTGCAATGGATAACCTCCGATCCGTTCTTGTATAATAGCTCACAAACCACATAAGAGAGGTAACACATATTAAGAAGATCTTGTGCAACATTTTCAACCGCGAGGGTGTTGATAATTAACTCCTATATAGCCTGTAATTCTCTAAACTATACATGAAAGATAAACTATAGTAGAAACACTATGCAACAAACTCAATCAAAAGTGAGACCTTTTGATACAAAAATCATATTCCAATCACTCAATCATTTAGGGTTGGTTTTCATCTTTTGATGTATGGAATTGTAGTAAACATAATTGGTTGTGATAACATACTCCGTAATAAAAGAAATAATGCAGTACGAGACAACGTGATTAAACATCAGGGAAAACGTGGTAACATTTATTAATGTGATCGAAAATTACGTTGTCGAATTTGAATGTTTCGTGGATTAATAAATGAAAAGTGATGCCTCCTAAATTTAAAAAAAAAAAATGTGTAGTATATAGAACATATATTACATCGTAAAAAATTGAGTATTTCAAAAAAATTAAATAAAAATTGGTAATGGTACTTTTTTATTTGATGTAATTAAATTATAATGTAATTGGTTATTCACTAATATATATATATATATATATATATATATATATATATATATATATATATAGAGGGAAAATCATAGATTTGGTCCCTCAGTTGTAGGCGAAATATTAATGTAGCCCCTCAATTCAATATTCATCGATTTAGTCTTCGAAAATAATTGTTTTTAGTCGATTTACCCCCTCCGACCGTCTTCTGTCAACCAGCTGGTGAAAACTCCGATTAACCATGGACAATTTGGTCTTTTCACTTCTATTTGGAACAAAACCACCCCAGCCTGCATCCAATCTTCTCTCGCCGCTCGCCTTGTCTTCCCCCTCCATTGTCTTCGTCGGTCTAAGATGTCAAGTGCCAAGTTCTCATTCTTCGTATAGTATAGGGCTTTGCAGATTCCGAGAAAATGCTTTTGAATGTTTGCCAGCCAAGAATTTTCTTCTCTGAGTTTCAGTTTAATTTATTTGGTCCTGGGAAATATATGAAGTTGTTCATTGCTTCTGTGCACTTTTCCTGTCCACACCCTCGAATTGATGGGGGTATTGGAAGCAACGTTTT